TCCCTCAAAAATTGGTAAAGAAAACTATTGACTTAAATAAGTAATTTATTAAATTAATATAAAGACAGTTCTTAATCTGATCTTGTTCACAATTACTTAAAAGGACTGGATATCCATTGATATTTGATGATAAAGGGAGAGGGGAGGTTAACTGACGTGTTTATCCCAATAGGTACTACCTTATCGGGAAATGTAGTGCATCTATGAATCTCTCAAATACTAGAAATCAAATGGTCTTAATTTACCAATGAAAAGCCAATGTTCCTGACTCATGACAGAAACAATATAATCAGGCTCCTTTAATTTTCTTATGCAGATAGGAGCCTTTATAGATGAGATTAAAACAGCAGTTCCCTCGGTTGCAAATAGTACAGTGGGCACGATCAAAATTGACGATTTTTTGATTGGAAATTGCAACTTCTAGAGGTCGTAAAAGACTGTAAAATAGTCGTCTTTTCCCGTGGAATCACTCTCAAATTCGTGCAGGATCCAAGATGGCGGCCAAGCGTTTATTTGAAGTGTTAGATGTATCTCTGTTGCCAACCGTCCGATTTCAATATCCATTCTTTTAAGTAAGAGATACACAAGAGTTCAGACTATGATTAAAGTATAAAATTTCCAACGTGACCTATAACTTTTAAAATTTTTTGGAAAAACCCGAAATTTTGAAAATAGAGTCCAATTAGACAACAGTTTGCAATTAGGAACTAAAATGTCCGGCTCACTTCAGAAACAACGTACGTACCGTTAGTTTCCCTTTGCAGATAGGTGCTTTAACGGTTCTTTTTAGTAAAGGCAGTCGAATTAAAAATCGGAAACAGCACAGCCTCGATTTGTGAGACTCACAGCCGCGAGGGGTGTAATTTCACGAAGGTTTTACATGAAAATCGNTTCAACCCAGAGCCGCAAACAGCTGACGCTTGACGATGCTGCGCCGAGAAAATGAACCAATCACAAAATAGCACAGTAATACGTCACTAAAATGAAGAGATCACGTGACTGTTCGTGATTTTTTCGAATCAATCTGAAACTACAACCTCGAATATGAGGCATTAAAGCATAACGAAGCCCCAAAATAGTTTAATCAGGTAATACGTCCGTGCGAGATTGTTATGCTTAAAAGCAAAACATTTCACGAAAACTTTTACGAATACCAGATGCAGAAGAAAATAAAATTTTCCCGGGTGTACCAGAATGGCGTCATTACCCATAAGGCAAAACGGTATGTAGTATAGTACATGTTACATCGGGGGAGTCGAACGGCTGGAAAGGGCGCATCTGGTACCCAGAAGCGCCCAAAAGTGTGCGAGAACTTACAAAATGCTGAGTTCACTGCTACAGTAGTTAGTTAAGCAATGTCAAGATGTGAGACTAACTGCCGTGGCGGGTAATTCAGCATTTTGCGAGTTCTCGCACACTTTTTTTACATCCAAAATGTTAAATCAACTTCACTTTTTTTTCGGTGTATAATTTTTGATCTCGTTTGTCTTATTTGTATGCTGCTCAAAAAGACAATGAGGTGGTGCGACCTCACCTCACTTTTATCAAAAAGCACCCTTGTGACCTTTCGGTTGCAAACTTCAGTCGGTCGTAGAAAGCAATGCTGACATTATACGTAACCACTAAAAGAGTCCGCGCAGGGACTCTCGTTACCATGGATGTAATCTGAGCCCTTGAAGCGACCACTTTCCCGCCGTTCCCGAAACCGCATCGCGCAATCGTGGTCGGCTATGCGATCAATCGATCGATCTGCCCTTTAAACCTACGGAAAAGGATCGATTTCCAGGATGTATTGTAACAATCGATTATTTGTCGCGTTTCAAATGGGATGATATCGACAGCCGATGATTTACAGCAGGCTCGGTCCAGCGCAAGGGGGAGTGGGGGAGGGGGAGGGGGTGAAGGGACGCCCAAGCGCGACGCTTGACCACGGACTGACCTGCGACCCTGGCGTCGCGACGCCGCCGTGAGAGAGAAGCAGGGCCTCAACATTGAACTTGCGACTCGCGTTTTACTTTCTCCCGAGCGTCGCGCTTCGGCTCCCCGACCGCTGTCGTTGCCAGATTTCCCGGAAAAATAGTCGTTTTCTGCTCTTGTTGACTATGGTGCTTGGAATTTTCGATACAGTCTGACAATTGTCGGTGGGAACAAATGTTCGCTGAATTTTATAATTACCGCCGGTCCGCGGTAATCATATGCTTCGCACGGGATGTATGAACATGGAAATAGACATAAGCGCAACCGAGAAAATAGACTCAACACTAGAGATGAATCCATAGAGGAGGCCTTAGATAAGGAGATATGAAGCACATGTAACATGGCTGTTGGTTGTGGCTGTGGACATGGCCATTGACATAGCCGTTAACAAAGCGGGTTTTGTTTTGTTTTGAATGGCCTGTTATTAAATAGATTGGAGGCGGAGTGGAACCGGGGTAAATTGTGATCCAGCCCAGCGGGCCGAATATTGAAATTGATGGACAACACTATAGAGAAATAAGACAAAAGGGATCCTATTGGTGGAAGTGGGTGGTTGCAATGGACGAGGGAGGTAGGCAATATACTAACTAACGGCAAGCCTCGAGCAACCCACGGGGTTAGTCCATCATATTCTCCCTTAGTCTGTAAGAACCACAAATTTCGATCAATAGTATCGCTCCATACTTCCAATGTCCTTTTTGTCTATCGCTTTGTCTGTCAATTTCAAAAATCAGCCTGCAGGGGCCCTGCGAGAATGCAAGGCTAAGAGATTTCCACACGGTTATTAAAGCTTGTGACCAAAAAAATTGAGATACTGCCGTGTTACCGAGGGTAGCAGTATAAGGCCCATTTTGAAATTGAGTTTCCATCAAAATGTGTTTAATACAGTTTAAATGGACTAACCGATTAAGCTGAAACAGCAAATTTCGTTTTCCTCGTAGAAACATGAGGCATATGAAAAAGAAGTCAGTGTGCTAAGATTACCTTCGTTTCATACTAAACAGCAGTGAGTGCACATTACTCACCGCGAGAGTTATACTTATTGCTGTCTTGAGTAATATAGTAATAAGCGGGTGGAATAATCTCGTTAGACACCCGAGGAAACGTTATTTCCCCTCCTCATACCGATGATAAACAATTGGAAGAGCTTTGCACAGTGGTGCATGGTCAAAATGGGGCATTTGATCAGAAAACCCTTCATATTAGGAACAGAGGTGAAAATGTAATAGTCATGCAATACATGAGCTCTTTTTTATTATTGGCTGCTGGATTCGAAAATGCCCTTAGTTTATCTCTATCGTGAGAGATTTTCCGGATAACTGAATGAAAAATTCCAATGTTTCCGGGAAAAATCGAAGTGACCCATAAAACTGAGGTCATTTATTTCATTAGCTCAAAAAATACTCATAATTAGTTGCCAAATTTTGCAAATTTAAAAAAAGGATACCACTGTTTCAGCATTGTCAATTTCATGAAAAACGTAGGTGTCGTCAGGAAAAATTTTCCGCTCACACCTCTTTCAGCCCGTCTCCTCAAAATTTCATTTTTGAACATACTGCTCTCTTTTGTAACGCGGCAAAGTATAGTTGTGCGCCTGGTAAGTGCTGCCCTGCTTTGATGTAAAACCTACAATTAACGAATGTAATTAGGTGCTCACTGTTTTTACCTCAGGAATATCACTCTTATTAGACTGCGCGATCTTTTTTTATCTTGAGTCTCATACTTATTTCAACCACCTAACTGCTTAATTATGTAACTCTGCTGTCCCGTATTATTATTATTAAATACGGCCTGGGGTTCCTAGTTGCTGACGATTTGCTCCATTTTTCTCCACCTCCTTGAGTTATCAATAAGTTTATTGAACTCTATTCTGATTAACTATCACGCATAATAAATAGATTAGCCTAGATGTATGAAATTACAAAATTGTATTACTCCCAACCCATGCATTTCGGCAAGCGCCATCATTAGGGTACAACTTACAAAAACACAGAAATTGAGTTGAGGCTCCGGCGATTTTGTATTCTTTCGTCGAATTTTGTAATGCATGCATCTAGGCTAATCTTGTCAAGTTATATCTAAATAGCGCGCTTATTTGAGCGTAATCTGGGATTTGGCTCGTTTTCTTCAGGATTTGGTAAAAAATTACACTAAAAAAAAAAAAAAAAAAAAAAAAAAAAAAAAAAAAAAATCGGTCTTGGAGGCCGCACTTACGGGTTATACAGACATACCATCCGCGTTCCGGGGTTAGAAGCCAAAAGTTCTGGGCGTAGCACAAGAGTCAATTGAAGCTAAAGCTCTAGCACCCGGTACTTTCGGCCTCTGGGCCCGGAACGGACGGTACATCTATACAGCCCGTAACGTTTTTTCAGTGTAGATTATCGATTCTGATTGGTTCAAATTCCAACGGTAATAGAGTTGTATGCATGAAGCCGCTTTTATAGCGCTCTGGCGCTCTGCGACATCTAGCCGCCAAAATTCCCTATCCTCCCAAAGCCCCTCAGGGAGTTGGCAAACCCCCTTTGGGCGTCTCCTCCCAGGAGGCACTCAATCAAACAACTTCTTTGGCAGCCTTTCGTCCGTCATTCTATTGACATGACCATATCAATAATAACCGGTTATAGTTACCTATCCAAAAAATTAACCGAATCCGGTCGCAAAAATTCGCCTATACACTGAAAAAATTGGCGCGCTGTTTTAACACCTAGAATGTCAAAAATGTGTTTGGTTATCCTAAGATGTTGTTTTTATTGCCCACACAATTGAATTTGCATTCACAGGATGTAAAGTTAACTGCGGGGGCAGTAAAGGCAGCATCTAGGGGTTACCAGACACATTTTTGACATCCTAGATGCTAAAACAGCATACTATTTTTTTCAGTGTAGTGTGTAACAATCGAATGACGTCAGACTGGATCTCTGTAATGACGTCGTTGGTTAACGAGCTGAGCGGAGCTCATTTCTGTCCACTCTCCGGTAGAGAGCCGCGGCCTCTAATTGTGAGGCGGGCCAGTAATAGTAATCGGACCGAAGAAGGAGTGAAGATCAACTCTCACCCATGCCGCGACTTGGTCCGCCGATGTAGGAAGAAGCTTGCCCGGTCGTCCATGCCTCATAGTCCTGCAACTTTGCTTCCTTGCGCCGCGCCGCCCCGCGTCCGGTATCCGTTTTGCGTCGCGACAATCGCTGATACTCTTGATGACAGTGCCAGTGGACTTTTTGGATATTCGTGAAAACGGAATGTTACACCCCCTACATCCATCCTTGTGTTTAATAAATGTTCTGTTGTCTACGTGTGTCATAAAGTGCATTTTCTACCCTTGAGCGGAAATTTCTCCGGGATTATTTTCTGTGCTGGTGAGTCTTGGTCCCTGGATTTTTTTAAAATTGTTTTTTCCGAAGTTGTTTATCCTGTTTCGATACTGCAGCCTTTTATGGGACCTATAAGAAAGGAAAGATCAGAAACTATGGGAGTTATTGAGGGTTCAAGAAAGGAATGGAGGATCGAGGGGCTTATTGTTCCTATCGATTTTACACTCTAGTTGCACTTCAAGAATGACTTGGCGCAAACATTAGAAAAAAGCACTTGGTCAGTATTATCATTTAATTGATCTTTGGCTTTTAAGTATTTCAAAAATCTCATCGTTTCTCAGACGTAGAACTTATGTATATTTCAACAAAGCAAAATTTCAATTACATAAAAATACTACAATTAATAAGTCACTATAATACTAGACACTTATTAATACTATGAAAAAACTATAATTTTCACAATAAAATTGACGGTAGGGGGATTTTCACTGGAAAATTCACTGATTTTTCGCCTTGATCGCATGTCAAATTCAGCAAAATGTGTAACTTAAACTGCACAGTCATATCCTAGAAAAAATGCATTTTCAATCAATGCATTATTGAAGTTTAATTTCGTTCACTGGAAAAAACACATTGGATCTACAGTCCAGACTCTTAAAAACATCGACAAGAAAAAGTACTCTTGATTCGATCAGAATCTAGCTTAAATCAAAAACCAAGCCTCTTAATTCAAGCGGATTTCGTTTTGATTCAAGCAAAAATCCGATGTTTTCAAGAGTCTGGCCTCTAGATTCAATGTGTTTTTTTCTCCAGTGTTCTTCGTCTACAAAACGGCAGTTTTCTCAAATAATGAACCAAACAAGGTACGAACTAAGGTCCTGTTTTCTATTTCGGGGTCGTTCATTGAATACGTGACGCTGAGAGGGGAGAAGCGGTCAGAACCTACGTTGCGGTTGCGTTACAATGGGAAAAGAGGGAGTTCTAAGCTCCGTTATACAATGCTGAAAGCTGTGCGTAACGTCGATGTTTGAAAAATTTAAGATTAAAAATCGACGCCAGGAGATAATTTTTCAATCATTCATCGATCGCCAATTTGAGGTAGCCGAAAACCGAAAAATCTTGTGATACCCTAACACATACTCTAGCCCTGTATTAAATCCCTATCATTATGGGTATTGTCTACTCTATGCTGAATATTCTAAATCCCGAGCAGCGACTGGAAATTACTGCAAGACGTATACAGACAACTTAAAAATTGCTATGTTTCTACAGACATTAGATTAATGCTCAGCCAGCTATGTAATTTAGATAATTTGTTTACGTTTTCTGATAATAAGGCAGTGAAAGACAGTATCAATAATTTGGACCTGAAAGTACGTTAGACTCTGTTTCACCAATCAAGTAGAATCTGTTGATGAATCTGATATACCTACAAGTAGAGGCTCAGATCTGAGCCGGTAGGAATTCACGTGCTTCATGCACATCCCATATGACTTAATGTCAAAAAGTGATTTACCTTGCCATCATTCCGTGCTAAAATATGCATTCACAACCTTGTGATACTTTTTTAATGACGAATGGAGCTCAAGATCAGATTTGATTTGGGTTTCCTTTATTGGAAGTGTCTGTATAGCATGTGCGTCTTAACGATAAATACATAATATTTGCCATCAGTCAATAATTCAGTACTGTAATTCATCCGAGCTTACTATAAATGGTCTCAGGATCGCAGAACCAAAAATCAATAGGTCAAACGCATTTTAAACAATCTTTTGGAAACTATTTTTGGACATGAAGCGAATAGTTCGGCCAATACATACATAGGTATAAGATACAATTCCTTCACTTTCCGGCTAATGCATCAGAAGCGCCATAAGAATTTCTGCCGTAATTTTATTTTTTTTATGCTGGTTGAATCTGTTTGAAAATTTCACTAAATTTTATCGGCAGCACAAAGAAAATCGAGTATAATTTTTGGATAGCTTTGTTGAAAAAGTTCTCGGTAAAAAAAACGTTGCATGGCGTTTGTGATACTTCGGCCGAAACGTTACGATACTCACATTTCATTCGACCGAAGTTTTTTTTTACGTGTGCAATCGAACTTTTACTCTTAGTGTGCACAGCGAGGAAAAGTAAAAATTTGGTAATGATATGGGTAGTAAAACACAAAGATACCTGAACGTGTGGTCAATATTTTTTTCAAGTTTTTATTTATGTTACATTCACCAATTCTTTAGGTTGGAGGTTTGCAACCTCGTTAAAAATCAGGCGCGAACCGTTAGAATCGAACCTGGATCGCATTGGTGAGAGTCCAGTGCGATTTGCCTAATCGCCAGTCACAACCTCTGAGCAACATCGAGAAAAACAAGAGCATTGAGGAAAAACGCCTGATGAGCCTTCAGACGTCAAAAAATGTTTTTCAATAAAAACAAAAACTAATTTACTGGGAAAATTGTATATCTTCATTTTTAAATTTTCGAATCAATGGAGGATTTGCAAACAAAAATTTGATTTCCTCAAATGAGCTGATTTTGCAGTATACTTCATAATTTTTTCTCACGTGGGAAATTGGAGTAAAATAGATTTAAAAGTGAGAAAAAGTGCCGCTTATGACTTCATCTGGTGGCATTTTCCATTTAAACACACGTATTTTAGCAGATTAGGTTATTTGCCATATTTTTTCTAGTAATTGTTCAATTTATGAACCGAGGATATCCTCGTACTCAGTTTTTCTAGCAGTACCATTTTAAAGATGAAATTCACAAAATTTTAGACGCCTGCAAATCCTCCATTGTGTTCTAAATTTAATTTAAAATATCCAAAAATTTCAAGGAAAAATAAACTGCATAGCTTCCCTCAAAAATACATGTTTTAACCGGAGAAATTTGGCAAATCTCGAATGTTCATACGGCGTTCTTCCATATTAGCACGGCAGACGGGTTCAGCAGGATGCTTTCTTCATCCCCAGATATCTAAGAGTATAACCTGCGATTTCGGTCGATTCGACCAAAAATTGACGTCGATCAGCTAAATCCTCTCGGTTGATCTGACCGAAAAAAGTAACCCAAACTAACCACGGACAGATATGTTCAAGGTGATTCGTCAAGCTCAAATGAAGTGGTCGAAGTGGAGTGCGATATATAGCATCGATTAGGTAAAAAATCTCGGCGGATTTTGAATTTTTAGAAAAAAAAGGACGATGGCCCCTGCGCATGAGCCTAAAGGATCATTATAAACCCAAAAATCAGCTAAAGTCCGAGAAATGAAAGCAGAACCGTGTTTGGAAAAAACCTCGCATTCGATACAGAAATTGATGGCTGAATCAAATGCGAGGTTTTTTTCCAAACACAATTCTGCTTTCATTTCTCGGAATTTTGCTGATTTTTGGGTTTAGAGTGATTCTTTAGGCTTATGCGCAGGGGCTATCGTCCTTTTTTTCGCTAAAAATTCAAAATCGACCGAGATTTTTGACCTAATCGATGCGATATATCGCATGCCAGTTCGACCACGTCACTTGAGCTTGACGAATCACCTTAAACGTGTAGAAAAACATCCGGAGGGCCTGAGATGCCCCTGTTCCCTGGAGCGGAGGTGCCCAGAATGACGGTTGACCTTGAGGAGCGTATAGCATCTGAGGAATCCGAAGATTCGTAACGAGTTGCGTGAGACCGGGTCCATGCGTTATCCATTGCATAACGCTCAATTTCACTTCAACTGGCGCGGCGTCCAGGTCCTTGGCCGCAACCGGCAGCGGGCACTAGCCGCTTTGATACGAAATTAACAGTTTATGAATCATTGGACTGCCGCCGCACTGTGGATCCAGTCAATTAGAGAAGTCGGACATGAAATTCTTGACCAAAACCGCAAATTTTGATGTTTACTTCGTCACATTTCGAATTTCAAAAGGTGTTCTTGGAAGAACATTTCACGAGAAAACCAATGAAACCACTTTTAGAACCTCAAAGTTTTGTATAAACGGAGTTATAAGCGTTGAAAGTTTCCAAATTTTGTCCGCCCTCTCCTATTGACTCGATCCACTGTGCGCCGCAGCCGCGCCACTGGCGTAACTTGCCGTGCTTAGGAATAACGCCATATGAACCATCAGGCGTTGTCAAATTTTCTTCGAAAAATAGGAATTTATCGGAAAATTCCATGAATACTTTTTTTCAATTTTTCAGACATTTTAGCTCGCAATTTAAATTTAAAATATCACAGAATATCATAGAAAAATGCGCATAACTTCTTCCAAAATTAACATTTGAACGGAGGAAATTCGGCAACTCTGGAAAGTTTGTACGAGGTTTTTCCTTAGAACGGCAGTAACCGTGCCGTCGCGGCCGGTAGTCGTCGTCGAATCTCATCTCTAATTATTATTATTCATCCTGGTCTTACTGACTGAGCTTTTAAGTGCGCCGCTTTGGCCGGTCATTTAGGGCTCCAAATTTGGCCAGCGTTTCCTACTCGGCCGAAGGCGGATTTTAGGAGTTTGTCTCTTGTTTTCATGACATTATCATGTCCAACGAGCTGATAACCGATCTTATTGTACGGAAGACTAATTATAACAGTAACCCACGAGAGAACCAATAGTTAGTCCATCATTTTCTCCCTTAGTCCATAAGAACCAACCATTTCAACCAGTAGGTTCACCAGGGCCGGATTTACTTACTTGCCGCCCATGGGCCGCCTGTATTTTGCCGCTCCCTTCTCATTCATTTTGAAACATCAATAAAAACTATCAAGTGAACGTGCCGGAGGGGGAGAGGCGTATAAGACGCGTTTACTCGTGTTGGTCACATTTTTTGCGAAAACCCTGTCAATACTACTAGCAAAAGTTCACGGTACTTGGCGCGAACGTTAAGTTCCGTAAACCTATCTCTGCATGGACGAGGCCCTCCTTTTATAAGAAATGAACCAAAGCATTATGAAAGAACAAACATAAATGTGGTTCAATAATTTTAACTTCCGCTGTCGCGCCTCGCTGACCGCACTGTGTTTGGCGCAATGCGTGAAGTATTCCTACAGTCTTATTACATGCGCTATGCGTT